GGCTAATGCCATGTCTGAATAAGAGGATGTTTTTCCTTTTATCTTTTCTTTTCCTACCTTGAAAGCTAACTATCCAGAAAATGAAACTACCATAAAACCTTACCAGGGAGCATAGATACCAGAATGGTTACATTTTTTTTTTTTTATTCTGATCATTGGTTTTAGGGGTTTTTTTTTTGACTGATGTGGTACATAACAGAATTCATTTACTCTTTTCACATAAACTGGCAGAATGTTCTGGTTCATCAAGTGAAAACTGATTCATTACTGAGCTATGTTTAGGTTCACACTTAGAAATCCTTTAGTAAATCTTTCACGGCACACCGATTGTATTTTAAGTAAATTCTACAATAGCCAGACTGTGGAAATACATACCAACTAAACATATCTAGGTGGATACGGTGGCCATTTGTGTTAAAAATTGGTTCTTCAAGCAACCTCGTAACAACCATCTACAAATTGGAAATGCCTTATTTTAAGTGTTTAGTATTTACTAATTCCACAACCTGAATTTTTATGAGGGTTTCAGGATAGGTCCATCACTGCTTTCATTCTGGAATTAGAATGAAAGCAATGATGGCACCTATCCAAAAATCCTTCATAAAAATTCAAGATGGGGAATTAAATACTGAACATTTCAAATACCTCAGTTCCAACAAATTTAGTAGAGGAGATAAGGAAATTGAACATAAAATAAGTTTCACCCAACACTGCAAATCACTTCAAAACCAAAGCACTAACCTAAAAACTAGTCATGTACTTAAATATCTTTGTTAGATCAAGTCTTTTATATGGATGTCATGCATGATGCTGAACTAGTTAAAAAATATCTAAACTCTCAACTGTATACAAGTGCTTTTTTTCAGATTATTTGTTAAAAATGGTTTCAAGTGAATGAAGCCTGTAGGATCATCCTTCTTCAAAACTGACACTACAGAATCACAAATAACTACACAAAATAACAGAAACCACATCATTTGAAGACTGGCAACAATTAAAATGGATAGCACAAGAAAAATAATGACAATCACAATGTTAACATTCCATACTACTTAAAACAAAAGGTTTAGTAGGTAACAGCTACTGAACTTGAGAAACCTATTTTCCTAAAAAAATTGTTTTAATAGAAAGATTTTATAAAATTCAACCGAAAATAACACTGGCTGCTAAGTCAACAAATACTTACAAGGAAACTGTTAATATTACCATTACACATTTTATGACCAACATTTTCAACTGAATGTAGCATTATCTGGAAAAATGTTGATAAACTCAGGATATAAAAACATTTATAAAGTCAGCCATAATCAATTGATGTGCTCAGTAATTTATATTGATATAAAAACTTGAAATATTTCTAATCAGCTGACTGGGATCCAAGCCGAAGAGTTGGAAGACATGATTATAGCCAATTATATGCTTGCAAAATCTTACTTTCCTGTATCTGATAAATGTATCATCTTTTGTGCTTGGTTTCAAAGTGAGAAAAATCTTACCGATAGTGACTAACCAATAAAAACAGTTAATTTGAGGGTGGAGTAAATTTATAACTAAAACACTAAATGATATTTAATGTTCTGGACAAGGACCTCCAATCAATCAAACTAGGATCAGAGCATTACTTTCTCAGACTTTTGCTTTAGCATTATCCATCTAAGCACTGAGCAGGCTCATCCCAGTTTAACTTTGGTAATCAAGTGAGGACCAATGTTCTCAATAAGGCTGTTGACAGTTAATGGTAATAAGGCAATGCTAAAAGACAATTCTAGAAA